CCCCAAAACCCCAAAACCCCAAAACCCCAAAACCCCTTTTAAGCTTGCATAATTAATATTTTAGTAAGTCAAATAATGGAAGTCGAAAAACCACAGGAAAATCCTGAATTACAAGACGAGAAGAAAGTTAAGATCCAGGTTGAGTAAGTCCTTGTTTTATCTCAGCTAATTATTTTCTAGGATGTTACCGTCGAAGCAGAAAAAGGAAATATATGGAGCTCCAGTCAAGAAGGACTATTTGCCTGACATCTTGTTCAAGGAAGAGCTCATTCCTGAAGAGAGACTATTTGTGAATGTTTACATGGCTCATTTCTTACTGAAGTATAAGGATGGAGCTACTAGTACAGCCATTGAACTACCTGTAGGGATTCCTCATCCCACCAGAGTAATAATCCAGCATATTTCAGACAGACTAGGTCTTGGATCTATCGTTCGTGGTGGAAGGAAAGGTAAGCTCTTCCCTCACCCGTATAGGATGAACCAAAAGACTCATTATTGCCCCAATGATCATGGATAAAGATCGCTTCGAGAAAGCCAAGCAAACTAGAGACTCTGTCATCGAGCACGCAGTGAAAAATTACAAGTACAAACTTTATGATCCTCCTGAAGTTGCCATTAGGGAGGAATGCTACAAGAACACAGATGAACAGGTAGCCAAGTTCAAAGATGGCAAAAACTATGAAGATGTATGGAACGAAATTACTGAAACAAAGTGAGCAGAGATGAAACAGGAATTTAGTCTAGATGTTGAAAAAGACAAAGCCCTTCCAAAAGACGGCAAAGACTGGAGTCTTTCTACTGAAGACTTCAAGATCTACATCAGCAGTGAAAACAAGGAAGCTGTCAATAGAGATGCTCTTGGTGATATCCAAGCTCAGTCTAATTCAGAGAATCACCAAGATGAAGAGATGGAGCCAGAGGAATCTTCCGAAGATGGCCAGAGCGAAGAGACAGGGACCAATAATATCAAACAAATAGGAATTGAAAACCTAACACTTGAGACTTTCAAAGCGAGACCAGACCAGATAGTTGATATTTATGCAACTAAAGTGACAGAGCAGTCTGCAGAAATTAGTTGGGAAGTTCCAGACTGTAACAACTCCGAGATCACTGAGTATCTTGTCAAAACTATGGAGGTAAGCCCAGTAAATTTTAGTAAGGATTTAGATCAGCGAAGATACAACAGAGATTATTTTTCAATCGATGCAAAGGACTACTACACCTTCTGCTGTTATTGAAGATCTTATACCGAACACTTGGTATATTGTTGATGTTAGAGCGACTAATGAGTTTGGTACTTGTCTTAAAGCCTCAAGGATACTTCCTATCAAGACATTAATAAAAGAGAAAGGAAGTCTTTATGTTTGGGGAAATCAATCTAACGCAGAGCTTTGCTTAGATAAATCGGATGTTAACAACTCCTTGTTCAACAAGGAGAAGCATATTGCCATGGGACCTCTCAAGGTTAACGCTTTCAAAGATTTTGTGACAGATATAGCATCTTCCGACTCAACTACCTTAGCAACGATATCTGCAGAAAGCAATATGAATCTGACCCAAGCTGGAGTAACTTTTGAGATCGGCGAGGAGGACCCAACTATTGTATACTCTTCAGGAGAATCTGAAAAGCAGATGTTTGCTCTACCATTTATCCAAAATCTTAAGAGCCGCAGAGGGATCTCAGAGCAAGCAGTCAAAGTTGAATGAGGAATGAACTTTGGAGTAGCTCTAAGTACGACTGGAAAAGTATATTCCTGGGGTTGCTCGAACTTTGGTCAACTTGGACAAGAAAATAACCCTGAGAAAGATCCACAAGCCCTCTCTGAAATCTCTGCAGTAAGAAGACCACTCGTGATCAAGGAACTCGAATGGGAAGATGACTTTGTGATTGACATTGCAGTTGGATTCACCCACTGCATTGCACTTACTTACAGAAAGAAGATCTTTATGTGGGGACAGGTTTGTTGTTTTCCATTCAACAAGATCTCAGATCCAGCTCCAGATCTATATTCCTCTTCAGCAATGTACCCCAGAGAGATCAGGTCTGTGCTCTCAGACTATAATCCGATCAGAGTCTTTGCAGGGACCCTTTTCAGTGGAATTCTCACCGTGGATGGAAAGCTGCTCACATTCGGGTTCGGAAACTCAGGCCAGCTGGGCCATCTTGATAAGTCTGATGGAGAAGACAAAGAGTTTGGCTTCCTCTATATCCCCAAAAGAGTAGATTTCTTTGACGATTACTTCATCGAAGACGTATCCTTCGGAGGCTCCCACATCCTAGCAATTGCCAGGAAGAAAATAATGATCAACGAAGAAGACTTTAAAATTGAAGGGCCTAGAGAAGTATTTGCTTGGGGCTCCAACAGCAAGGGACAGTGTGCTAGCGTGAAGGATAAATATATCTCACTGCCAAAGAAGATAGAAGCTTTTGCCGGCCAAGATGTAAGTTATTCTCTTTACATTTTTAGGTACTACAAGTAGCAGCTGGAATAGACCATTCTCTATTCCTAGTCCAAAGAGATGAAAATAATACAGCAGTATATTCCTGTGGAAATGCTGAAGATGGTGCTTGTGGGGTCAGCAAATCCTTATCAGGCAAATTCTCCACTCCTCAGCTCATCACAATGCTGGATAAGAAGAGAAAGCTGGCAGACAGCGAAGGGTTTGCCGAGGTTATCAAACTTAAGGCTGGCTCAAAAACCTCCTTTGCGATCATAGGGACTGACTAATTGCTAATTTGTTATGTTTTAGAAGTATTCTAGTGTTTCTTACTGAATTTTCAATTGATTCAAACTAAAGAGGGGTTTTGGGGTTTTGGGGTTTTGGGGTTTTGGGG